GAGAGACAGAGAGAGAGAGAGAGAGAGAAAGAGAGAGAGAGAGAACACCACACTGCAGAGACAGAAACCCAGAAAGAAAGCTGGGCACTGCGGAAGCAAGGGCTGGGAGGTACTGCCAGACCCTCTGCAGAGCTCCAGGGTTGGGGAAGAGCACCAGTGAGGGGAAAATGAAGGTAGCACTGTGGCCACGCTGCTGGCGCTGTCCAGGGTTCACTGAAGGCCCACTCAGCCTGGGGGGTGGGGGGAGAGGGGAAGGTGCAGGAGTGTGTGAGGCAGCTGGGAGCCCCTCCTCCAATCTTGGCTCTCAGCCCAGTCTGGGACCCTCTGAGCTCCTGCAGGCCCTGCTGACTGGGGAGAGGGGAAGAGCTCTGGAAAAGATCTTTCTAGAGAAGGAAAGAGTGTGGGGCAGTGGAAGGGCTCACACAACTTCATCTCCTAGGTCTGCCCCTGAAGGAAGAAGAGGTACTGCCAGAGCCCGGAAGTGAGGCCCCCACAGTAGCCTCCGAGGCTTTGGCTGAGCTGCTCCATGGGGCCCTGCTGAGGAGGGGTCCAGAGATGGGCTACCTGCCGGGTGAGGCCCCCAGAGTGGCACGAGTGGCATACAGAGAGGGAGGGAATAAACTCAGGGAGATGGGAACCCAAGCCAGTAACGTTCAGAGAGTGATGGTTAGAGCATGTCAAAACTGGGCATAGACAGAGACCCAGGGAAATCGAGACAGAATGATCAAGAGACAGAGCCAGACAGAAAAACAGACCATCAGAGAGAAACACAGATGGAAACTCAGAGAACCAGATTCGGAGGAACAAGGGGGAGAGAGACACAGAAAGAGAGAGAAATGCAGAGAGTAGCAGATTTAGACTCATAAAGTCAGAGAGCCACGGGAATACTAAACAGAGAAGAGTTCCAGAGAGAGCGAAAGAGAGAGAGAGGAGAGAGAAAGGGGTACACAGGAAGGGGAGCCGGATCTGAAGGGGGAGGCATGGAGAGGCTCAAGGAGACTGTCAGAGTGGAAGGACCTAGGCAGAGAGGTGGCGAGGGATGGGGGGTCAGTCTGTGGACGCCTTGGGAGGAGGCTCAAAGTTCGGGTGGGGAAGGGAGACGTGGAGGGGGGCCTGCACCTTGTGGGGGAGGTCTTTGGGGTTCAGTGGGGGAGCCCCCAGTTTCCCTCAGCCCTGCTCCCTACCCATGGCCCCCCAATTTGCTCCTTCTGTGCCCTGACTTCCGTTGCACTGTCCCAGGATCTGATCCAGACCCCACACTAGCCACCCCTCCAGCCGGCCAGACTCTTGCAGCGCCCTCCCTGCCACGGGCCACTGAGCCAGGGACAGGGCCTCTGACAACAGCCGTAACCCCTAAAGGGGGCAGGGGGGCAGGCCCCACCGCACCAGAGCTGCTGACCCCGCCCCCAGGAACTACGGCCCCGCCCCTTCCTGGCCCCGCCTCCCCAGGCCCACCCCTCGGGCCTGAGGGAGGAGAAGAGGAGACCACGACCACCATCATCACCACGACAACTGTTACCACCACGGTGACCAGCCCAGGTGAGGCGAGCGAAAGGGGATGGGGACAGTGTGCAGGAGTACGAATGTGGGAGAGGAGCGGGTGTGCAGGGGGAGAGGCTGCTGGGAACGTGTGGAAGAAGGGGTCTGGGCTTCCGCTCAATAATAATAAAGGCTGGCATTCATATGCCCTTGCTATGTACCAGCACCTCTCTATGTGTTTTATCTCCATTACGGTTGGGGAAGGGAGTTGTGGGCACGGGGGAGGGGGAGGGGGGAGAGGGAGCACCGGATAAAGGTGGTGAGAGGGGTGCTGGGGCCAAGACAGGTGAGGACCCCCAGAGTTGCTTGGCTGGGGGGGCAAGAACACAGGGATTCTCCCAACTCCAGCCACTTGTATCTCTTCAGTTCTGTGTAATAACAACATCTCTGAGGGCGAAGGGCATGTGGAGTCTCCAGATTTGGGGAGTGCAGCCAGCCGCACCTTGGGACTCCTGGACTGCACATACAGCATCCATGTCTACCCTGGCTACGGCATTGAGATCCAGGTAACTGGACTTTGAAGCCCCCAAGCCCTTTCCTCTAGGCCCAGAGGTGTGCACAAGTTTGGCCTGGGAACCAGAGAACCTGTTTCCTAACTGAAATGGGCCTGTTTTCCAAGGATCTCAAAGACTCTCCTAGAGTTCTATAATTTGACCGATGTCACAGTGATATTTGGCTGCCACACTGACTTGTCCCGGGGGGTCTGGGTCTGGCTTCTTTAGGTGCAGACGCTGAACCTGTCTCGGGAGGAGGAACTCCTGGTGCTGGCTGGTGGGGGGTCCCCAGGCCTGGCCCCCCGACTCCTGGCCAACTCCTCCATGCTGGGAGAAGGACAGGTCCTTAGGAGTCCAACCAACCGACTGCTCCTGCACTTCCAGAGTCCACGGGTCCCAAGGGGCGGTGGCTTCAGGATCCACTATCAGGGTGAGGAGTCTGGGGTGCTGGTGGAAGGGGAGGGGCCACACTGCGCACAAGGCACATCACCAGGAGCCTTTCCTCCTGGCTAGGACCCTGGGGGCAGAGCCCATAGAGGAGGTCTACATACACTTATTTCACACACTCACAGACCTGTGTCTGGGTGTGCACACATCCAGGTGGCAGTTCACCCATTCACTCGACAAATGTTTATTGAGCACCCGTTTCATACCGGCCCTGTGTTATCCCTGGAGGGAGAAATGAACAAGCTAGATGGAAATCATCAAGGAACTCAGAATCTAGGTAAAGAGATGGGCAAGTAATCAGGATGATTATAATTCAGTGAGATTCGGACCTCTATCCCTATGATGAAGGAACCACAGGCAGAGGGAACAAATTTCAAAGGGACTTAAATTTCTCCTAAGGGATACAGGGACACCTTCTTGGAGGAGGTAACTAAGCTGGGAACTAAAAGATGAGCTACTAGGGGAAGGTGGGAGGGGGAGAAAGAGGCAAGTGTCCTGACGGATGAAAAAGCATGGCCTCCTTGAGGAGTTGAAGTGATTCAGCATGGAAGACAGAATTGTCTTAGCTGTGTGACCTGGGGCGAGTTACTTAACCTTTCTGTGCCTCACTTCTCACCTGAAAAGTGGGGATCATAATACTTAGCTCATGGCATTATTAGGAAGATCAAATTAACTAATACATGTCAGGTGCTTAAAATAGTGTCTCGTACACAGTGAGAGCTCAGCAATGTCAGTTGTTGCTACAGAAAAACCCAGAAAGAGGTGGGCGGGAAGCAGGCTCTAAGAGACCAGACTGGGAGGTAGGTTGGATTCAGATCATGAGGGTCCTTGTCAGCTTCAGTAAGGAGTACAGATGACTTTATCCTGCAAGGGGCACGGAGACGGGTTGAGAGGTTTTAAGCAAGACAGTGACAGCCTCAGATTTGTGGCCTAGAAAGATCCTGCTGGGTTTGGGGGGCGTAAGAGGCACAACTGCATTCATGAGCAACCACCCACGGACAGCCTACAGACAGGTGGACATTGGTGCTCACCCGTGTGTACGGGAACCTTCCCACAGTGCAAGGGTATGTTCTAGCATACACGTGTGTGTGAGGCAACAGTCCCAGCCCACTGTCCCATTCCGGACCCTGCTGCCATCTCCAAAGTCCCCGTGTTCCTTGGAAAGCAGAGAGGGAACTATGTTTGGGGCCAATGTCCCCATTTACATCACCTCATGGCCTTGCCTGCCTCTTGTGTGCTCTGCTGCCCCCCGTTTCCCTTGTGGGCTTTATCCAGCTCACACAGCGCCCGTACCCCTTCCTCACACACTTTCGAGTTTCTCCTGAGGCCTCTGCCCAGGAGAGCTCTGCCCAGGGGCTCATGTGTACAAGGTGGAGAGACCTATTCGCGGAGAACCCAGTGAAGTGGGGGCCATGTAACTGGTGGTCGGATCAGCAGGAAGCAAGGGCATGGCCCAGGGCCCGGGCCCAGGGCAGGACTTCCGATTTTACAAAATGGCTCCCCGCTGGCTCTCTTAAGCAGCCACTTCCCTAGGGCATTGAAAATAGGACTCTTTAGACTAAGTAGAACATTTGGGGAAGCAGGGCTATTGCATAAATTGGCCTTCATTACCTGCCTCCGTCTTCCCTGCTTTGCAGCTTCTCAGGGCACCTTTGGGACCGAGGCCCTGTTTAAGCGCTCCCCAGTCTGCACTAGCTGGGGCCTCTGGTCCAAAGTGGCCTCATTAGCTTCTCTGAAAGGCCAAAGGCTCCATCACTGCTCGCCCCAAGCCCAGCGAGCGTTCCCATTTACAAAACCCCTGCGCCAACTGTGGTTTCCTTTGCATCTCCCAGCACCCCTGAGAGTGACCCCCAGCTCTGAGAGGATGAAAGGTCAGATGGATGCTAAACCACCTGTAAGTTCATTGCAGAGTCAGCAGTCAGTCCCCAGCCCTGACTCTGAGGCATTCATTAATTGAGATGGAGTGGCAAGTGATTAAGCTTTTCTGAGTACTTTCTATGTGTCAGGTGCTTTGTGTGTTTCTTTCCTTTAACCTGAAGGCCAGTTGTCAATTATAGTGGTTATTACTGCCATTTACAGGTGACAGGCCCTAGAGGTGACATCACCTGCTCAAGGTCATACAGCTAATAAGTCTTGGAGCTGGACCCAGAACTCAGGTCTGCCGGTTCCAAATCCAGTGCTCTTGTGTATTGTTCCAAAAACCCTCTTCGCTGCCGCATCAGTGGACCAGTTAGGCTAGGCTTTGGGGAGACAAAATAAATAAGACATGGTTCTGTCTCATCATGGCAATAGACAGCAGTCAATGTGATGATAAGATTATGCAGGTGCATGTGAGGAGGCAAGAAAGAAACAAACTCAATTGGAAAGGGGAGAGGTGAGGAAGACTTCCTGGAAGAGGTGGTTCTTAAGTTACTCCTTGAGAAATGAAAAAGGGCGAGAAGAGGGCCTTGCAGGTGGGGGAAATGGTGTGAAAAGATACGGAAGTCACAAAATTACATTGTGTAGGATATACAGATTGTGGGTGCTAAGACCTGATGCTGGGAGTGTTGCGCTGGACACAGCTATGGAAGGCATTTGAATGTCAACCCAAAGCATTTGGACTTGATTCTGCTAACTGTGGAGAGTCATCAAGAGGCTAATATGTACTTAAACCACTGTATTCTAGAAGGTTTTTGTGTTTATCTTCATAGACTGTGAACTCCCGAAGGGCAAAGCCTGGGGGCCCTTTTTGCCTCTCTGTGCCCAGCACCCAGCCAAGGAAATGCTTATTGAATTTTGAAGTAGGGAGAGACCAGCTCTCTGACAGAATCACTTAGGGCTGGAGAGTTAGCAAAAACAGAGGCCCAGGCAAACTGGTACCTTCCAAGCACGGTTACCCAGAGCCTACCCCTGCTACAGAGACCCAGCTTTGGTGCACCTCCGCCTGGCAGCCCTTCTTGATGAACTGTGACTGGTCTGAAACAGACACACAGAACTGTGTCAGGACCAAATTTAGAGTCCATTGTTTACTACCAAGTCTCTTCCTTTCTTTTTCTTCCTTCCTTCCTTCCTTCCTTCCTTCCTTCCTTCCTTCCTTCCTTCCTTCTTTCCTTCTTTCCTCCTTCCTCCCTTCCTTCCTTTCCTTCCTATTTTCTTTCATTCTTTCGTTCTTTCTTTCTCTTATTTAGTTAGTCTCTACACCCAACATGGGGCTCAAACTAATGACCCTGAGATCAAGAGTCGCATGCTCGTCTGACTAAGCCAGCCAGGCATCCCCAAAGTCACTTTCTATTTATTTCTCTCATAGGATTCCACAAGGTTTTCAGGAGGCTTTCAAAAAAGAACACATCAAAATTAAATAAAATAAGAAGAAAATTGGTGCCAGGAAGTGCGTATTAAAGATGAAAAAATAGACGTGGATGGACAGGCCCTTGTTGCTAGGGACAAGCCTCGATCTGTTTCTGAGCGTCTTAGCAGCCAGCACAAAAAGAGAGATTGGATAGTTCTCACTGCAAGAGAGGAGGAGAGAAACAAAGGAAAGCAAAGCTTTCCCTAGCACTTCACTTTCACTGGAGGATTCATTTAGGGGGCACTGAGTATGAAGGTCTTTAATGACAAGATGGTCAAAGTTCCTAAAGGAGTTTCATGTGGCTCCTCTGGATGAAAGCTGAGGGAATCCTACCACCACTCGCCTCCGTGGAAGAGAGTCTGTATGTGTAGAAGGGAGAAAGCATAGGAGTGCCTGGGTGGCTCACTTGGTTAAGCCTCTGACTTTGACTCAGGTCATGATCTCACGGTTCGTGGGTTTGAGCCCCGTGTCAGCACAGAGCCTGACGCCTGCTTCAGATTCTGTGTCCCCTTCTCTCTCTGCCCCTCCCCCACTCATGCTCTCTCTGTCTCAAAAATAAATAAAACATTTAAAAAAATGCTTTTAAAGGAGGGAGAAAACATGGTGAGGCACTTAGTAACCAATTTCTACATCTGGAAAACGTATCACAGTCTTACTCTGGCTACCTCAAAAGTGCTGCATAAACTCACCTTAGCAGCTGAACGGGCTCTGGAAATACTATTTGTTATTATTAGAGCTGGATGGGTTCAGAGTGGTCAACTGATTTGCCCGAGGTCACTCACCAAATATGTACCACAGTCAGAATGTCTTTGAATCTCAGATACTTCATCTCTAAAATGGAAGCCAAAGTGGGTAGATTACAAAGATTAGGGGAGATAAGAGACATTGAAGTTATCTCTTCGTTAGACCAAGTAGCCATGTGAAAACTCCAGTAAGGAGCCAGTCTGTGCCTCCAGGGGGATGTGGAAAGGGGGAAGGAAGTGCTGGGTGATTGGTGAGAGTGGCCTGGAGAAAAGAGTCCTTCTCCCTGCTCTGCCTTATCCAGCCTATCTCCTGAGCTGTGGCTTCCCTCCCCGGCCGACCCATGGGGATGTGAGCGTGACAGACCTGCACCCTGGGGGTACTGCCACCTTCCACTGTGATTCGGGCTACCAGCTGCAGGGTGAGGAGACCCTTATCTGCCTCAATGGCACCCGGCCAGCCTGGAGTGGTGAACCCCCCAGCTGTATGGGTGAGTCTCCTGCATGCTAAGTGGGGCCTGTCCTGGGAGCCCCATTGGGAGGGTACTATCTTGGGCATCTCCATTTTTGGGGAACATCCATCTTGAAGTGGTTTCTGCCTAGAAGAGTCCCTATCCTGGTGTCTCCATCTGGAGCTCCTTACACTGTCCCTATCCTCTGAGAATCTCCATTCTTGGGGGTCTCTATCTGGGGATGTCCTGCCTAGAGGGTTTCCATTTGGGGAGTCACCATTCTGGCTGCCTCTTCTCTTAGAGACTCCTCATCCTCAAGGAAACCATTCTTGAGGTCCATATCTAGAGGGTCTCTATCCTGGAGAGTCTTCATCCTGGTGATCCCATCTGGAAGATTTTCCATTTGAGGGCTTCAATTTGGGGGATCCCCCATAACTCCAGATGCCAGGGTATCCACATCTGGAGAGTGTTCATATTAGCAGGATTTCCATCCTAGGAGGTGTCCATTCTGGGGTTTCCTATTTTAGGGCTGGTTCCCTACCTGAGTGGTGGCCTGGAAATGTCCTGTCCTCTGCCGTGAGCCTGTAGGGCACCCTGAGGCCAGGTCCCAACCAAAGGTGTGGATGTAACAGCTCTGAAGACAGGAGGACAAGTCACCTTAACATATCCCCCCCCCCCCACAGCATCCTGTGGTGGCACCATCCACAATGCTACACTGGGCCGCATCGTGTCCCCTGAGCCTGGGGGAGCGGCAGGGCCCAACCTCACCTGCCGTTGGGTCATTGAAGCAGCTGAGGGACGCCGGCTTCACCTGCACTTCGAGAGGGTCTCACTGGATGAGGACAATGACCGGTGAGGATCTGCACCTTGAGTCAGAGGTCCCCACCTCTGGGAAACAGGGAGGCTGCAGGGGGTGGTCAGACAGGTCTGGGGTGGATCCCGGTTAAAATTTGTGTCAAATACAGATTGGTCCTTCCCCTTCTTAGGCAGTATAGCTGTGTCAACTTAGATGAATCACTAAACTTCTCTGTGCCTCAGTTTCCTCTCCTGTAGAGTGGCAATAATAGGACCTCCTTTTGAAGGTTTCTGCGAGGATACATGTTAAGACACATGAAATACTTAGAAGGGTGCCTGGCCCACAGAGAGCACTGTAAATGTGCTTGGCATCCTCATCATCATTGGTACCCCCTCTATCTAACTGCTATCGCAGCTCTGCCATGAGTTGCTGTGTGATGTTGGGCAGGTTATTTACTCTTTCTGGGCCTCCGTGTCCTCATCTCTAAAGTAAGGAGTAATAAAGAGTACCCACTCAAGGGCTCTTGTGAAAATTAAATGAGACAAAATGTGTAAAGGCTTAGAGTACTTGGCATGTAGTCGACCTTTGAAAACAATAGCTTGAAAATGAGTGAGGAGAGCCTGGCAAGAGGTGGGGCAGCTTCTGAGGGGAAACTGAGCTCCTGACGACCCTTCTGTCCATCTCAGGCTAATGGTGCGCTCAGGGGGCAGTCCCCTCTCCCCAGTCATCTATGACTCAGACATGGATGATGTCCCAGAGCGGGGTCTCATCAGTGATGCCCAGTCCCTGTATGTGGAGCTGCTCTCAGAGACACCTGCCAATCCCCTGCTGCTAAGCCTCCGATTTGAAGGTAACCGCCCTCCTCTCGGGGCCCCAACTCCTGCACTCTCCCCTCTTCCTGATGGCCAGGTACAGTCACAAGCACAAACACTGTCCCTGTTCATCTCTGTGTTTGGATCCCTGGAACCTAACTTGCTTTCCCACCCCAAAACTCTAAAAATCCCCTCTGATGGACCCCTTCTAATTCCTGAAGTGGCTTTTTCTCTTTAAGTTTCATATATGGCTGGCTCTAGATACACAGCCAAGAGTCCAATTACCTTAATCTCTCAGTTCTTTGCTCTGCATTGGCTTCATTGTCAGGCTCTCATATGTGGTGGACCTAGCAGTTCTGACTGATAAACCACCAACTTAGTAAGTCAACCAGAAAGAGAAAGTATAGCACTTTCTCAGCAGAAATGCCAAGAAGGGCTCTCATTTCCCTGGCTTAGGTCATGTGCCTACACCCGAGCCTCATTAAAGCTAGGGTCAGGTGGTGTTAGGATTGGCAGATCCACATCACATAACCATCCAGAGTTGGCCCCAACCGGACCTCATTGACCGGGGAGGCATGTATCCCAAAATGAAAAAAGGAGTGCTGTAAACAGAAGAAGGGGGACCGGATGCTGGACAGGTAGAAACAAGGAGGTCAGCCGACCATGGGAGAAGAGGTGTTTGAACACCTTTACAGGATAGAGAGAATGTTGAGAGTCTCATACTCTACCTACTGGCCAGGCTCTGGGATAGAGAGAATTTTAAAAGTGGGAGATTAGGGGCACCTGGGTGGCTCAGTCGGTTAAGGGCCTGACTTGGTTTCCACTCTGGTCATGATCTCATGGTTCGTGAGTTGGAGCATTGAGTGGGGTTCTGTGCTGACAGTGTGGAACCTGCTTGGGATTCTCTCTCTCCCTTACTCTGCCTCTCCCCCACTCATTCTCTCTCAAAATAAATAAATAAACTTAAAAAAATAAATAAATAAAAGAGGGAGATTAGGGATGAGCATCTCAGGTGAAAGGAACAGTGTGAGCAATAGTAAAGAGTCATAGAAAGGCCTGGTATGTTTGGGAAACAGGAAATTTCAGTGTGACTGGAGCAGAGGATTTGTGCAAACAGTAGCAGGAGAGAGATAAAGAAAATGAAATGCTTAGAGATGGGAGGGGCTGGTCTCTGGTATGAATCAAGGGAGAAATGGAATTGGCACTGGGCCCTGATGGGTGCATAGGATTTGGACATGACACTTAACCTCATCGGGTTAAATAACAGTAAACTACACCAGTGGATCTAAAAAATAATTTGCATTTTGTCTTTGAAAATGTGAAAAGAGTTCCAGGTTTAAGGCCTGCCTCCCTAGTTGTGGGTCATTGCTGTTCCATGAGCTTCAGATTCCTCTTCACGTATAGTTTTGCAGCTAAGATATGATCACGTGGGCCAAAACTAAAATGCTCTCCAAATGTTTATTTTTGCTGACTTAGTCCAAAATCAGAATTGAGTAGCTTCTGCATTCACTGCACTTTTGGATTCTAGCCACAGCATGGATGATCAGGGGTAATCAGAATCTGTTATTTTTGAGGGGAGAACACACTTACATGAGCCAGTTCTCCAAAGGCACCCTTTCCTCTCCCTCCTCTGCAGTTTCTAAAACCAAGTGTCTCTAGCTGGGAATCAAGCCATGTGAGTCTGAGACCTGATTCTGCCACTGCCCTAGTGTGTGACACTGGGCAAGTGACTTTTTGTCCTTGGATCTCAGTTTCCTCATCTGTAGAATGGGAGCTGCGATTTGACTAGCCTAGCAGTTTTCCTCCAGAGGCAGGAAGGTAACAGAAATGTGTAAATGAGAAGTGTTAGGGTTTGGAGGAGACTGGAGAGTGAAAGTTAAGCCCTAAGCATTCCATTGTAAACAGACCACGGAATGGCCAAACGACACTTGAATTCAGCCTAAGTCCCCCCAGTCTGAGACCCCTGAGACCTATCTTAATGCTTAATTTCTGTGACTGACTCCTCTCTAGCCTTTGAAGAAGATCGCTGTTTCGCCCCCTTCCTGGCACATGGCAATGTCACCACCACGGACCCTGAGTACCGCCCAGGGGCACTGGCCACCTTCTCGTGCCTCCCAGGATATGCCCTAGAGCCCCCGGGCCCCCCCAATGCCATCGAATGTGTGGATCCCACCGAGCCCCACTGGAACGACACAGAGCCAGCCTGCAAGGGTGAGCCCTCGACATCGCCAGGAGGTCCTTCAGTCTACAGACTCCCCCCGGGCTGGGAATCTTAGGAAGGCCATTCAGGGAGGAGACTTGCCTCTCCAAACCTAATAAACCCAGGCCTTGGGCAAATCCCTGTCCCTTTCAGAAATAGTTTTCTTAACTAAATAACTGGTGTGTTTGTTACAAAACTTAGGGGTCACAACCCAAATGTCTTGAAGAGCTAGAAATAGAACTAAGTTATGGGTTGGGGGGGGTGGGTAATGCATAGGCTGGAGCATGGGCAGGGCTAATTGAGAGCAGGGCTGGGGATTGGGTACAACAGGACTAGGTACATCGAGAAACAGGTGTCTTAATAGATAACAGGAAACCTGTGAGGTGGTCTAGTGCACGCAGTTGGGAGCGGTGAGGTCTGTGGTGAACTGGAGACCGCCCTCCCACCTGGGTTCTGAATCTGACGACCCCCACCCCCTTTCACCCTAGCCATGTGTGGAGGGGAGCTGTCAGAGGCAGCTGGTGTGGTCCTCTCTCCTGACTGGCCCCAGAGCTATAGCCCCGGCCAGGACTGCGTGTGGGGCCTACATGTCCAAGAAGAGAAGCGCATCTTGCTCCAAGTGGAGATGTACGTTTGGGTGCTGCAGGGGTGCGGCGGGCGTGGGTCAGTGAAGTGTGGTATGACAACAGCCTAGCCTGCATTCTGAGCCTGGCCGGCTTGCACTTCTACACGAGATTTGGTGAATATACGATCTAATGAAAGAGGCAACTAAGGGTTCAGGATGGGGGAGTGCGTTGTCGGGTAGACCTAGGTACAAATTATCAGCCAGGCGATTTTGGACAAGGAAATGGGCTACTGCAGTCTTCTGCGGCTGGGGGCGGGTAATAGTGAACAGGGGGCTCTGGCCTGGAGTCTCCCACTCTTTGGCTGTTTCTGAGGCCGCCCCTGGAGTAACTTCCAGGGGCCCAGGCCCAAGCTGTTGTATCACCACCAGCACCCAAGGTGGGTGTGGGTGTGAGGAGAATCCAGTGAGCTGATTTGGTATGAGGTGGTCACGTGACGATCCAGAAGCTGGCCTGCAGATACTCAGGTGGGGCCTGGAGTTGGGCTGCTGGTAAATGAACATGGCCTGTGATTGGTCAGGGCGGGGCTTGTGCGAGACTGTGGCTCACAGCGTGATGGAGGAGGGACCAGAGAGTGCGAGGTCGCAAGGAGTTGGACTAGGAATGGGGAAGCAGGAACTGGGAAGAGCCACAGAACAGGTGGAACCTGGAGTGGTTACCACAGAGAAGCCCAAAATTGGTCAAGAGGCGGGGCCGGGCCTGGGAGGGAAGAATGTGGGCAGGGCTGGAGAGTAGGTCGGGTTACTAATGAACTGAGTTAGGGATTGGGCAGAACCGGATAGGAGGGGCCGATCATAACCCAGCCCCCTTATCTGGTCCCACTCCCCGCAGCCTGAATGTGCGCGAAGGGGACATGCTGACACTGTTCGACGGGGACGGTCCCAGCGCCCGAGTCCTGGCCCAGCTGCGGGGACCCCAACCGCGCCGCCGCCTCCTCTCCTCTGGGCCCGACCTCACGCTGCAGTTCCAGGCACCGCCAGGGCCCCCAAACCCGGGCCTGGGGCAGGGTTTCGTGTTGCACTTCAAAGGTACCGAGGTCTAAGCTCCTGAAATGGGCAGGGGTCCGGCAGGCCAGAGATCGCGGGAGGAGCTCGAGGTCCCTGAGGCTGGAAGGGCTCCCCGAGTCATTCGCAGGGTAGCATCCAAACTCTCTGTCTTTCCCCTGCAGAGGTCCCGAGGAACGACACGTGCCCCGAGCTGCCACCCCCGGAGTGGGGCTGGAGGACGGCCTCCCACGGGGACCTGATCCGGGGCACCGTGCTTACTTACCAGTGCGAGCCTGGCTACGAGCTCCTCGGCTCCGACATTCTCACCTGCCAGTGGGACCTGTCCTGGAGCGCAGCGCCGCCCGCCTGCCAAAAGAGTGAGCTCGGGCCCCGCCCACATCTCTCGTGGCCCCGCCCCTCCCCATCTGGGTTTCGCGGCTCAGCTTGGGCGCCGCCAGACCCCTCTGCGTCCCGCTTCGGTCCCTTTGTGTCCCCGCCCCTATCCCGGCCGCGTTTCATCCCTTCGTTCTGGATTCTGCCCAGATCTTGCTCAGGCCCCGTCCCCCTTTCCCTTTGGGGTCCATTCCTCCGATCCTCGGTGTCCCAAAACTGTCCCCTCTGGACCCACTCTCATCTCCGGGCGGCATCCCTCAAGTGCACTGTTCTGGGCTCTGACCCCGCGTGCCCTGGGTCCAGCCTCACCTTTTCGCGGCCCCGCCCCACAGCCTACTGGCCCCGCCTCTGCTGAGGCCGAGTTCCACCCCTCCCGGCCTTCCGCTCGCTCTTTTCGTTCTAGACCCTGCTCCAGTCTCTCAGTCCCTAACCTTTGACCTTACGGGGAGTCACTGTACTAGGGCCGAGGCTGGTCAGAGAATTCGGTTTATTTTAATGCAGTCTTTGAAGCCCCATGCGGGGTTAGGGTTATGCAGAGGGTCTGGGGTCCCTCCCGACCCTGGCGGAGCTCACAGTCCAGGAGGGGGACAGACGCTTAAATAACTCAGAATATTGCACAGTGGTAACTGCGGGATGATTTGGGGCAAAGTGCTTAACATCTCTGAGCCTTGGCTGCCTCATCGGTGAAATAGGAAAAGGGGCTGTGAAGAGCAAATCAAGTTCACACAGCGCACGTGTCAGCAGTAAGTAGTAGCTGCTATAAATATGAAGAAGGGAAGGGAAGGGGGGTCGTTGTTCCAGTGATGGGACAGGAGATTTCTCAGAGGAGGTGACATTTAAAGGAGCTGGGAGTGTTTATCTCTTAGAATAGCAGAAAGGGGTGGTTGCTGTCATTTTCTTCAAATTTGGGGAAGCCGGCCACGAGGACATGGGATGGGAGGTCTTCTACCTGGTCCTTGGGGGCAACGGTGGGCCCGATGAGGTTAAGTTCAGGAAGGCAGATTTGGGCTGCGCACAAGGAAAACGTTCTGGATGACGCAGCTCCCCATCTCTGGAAGGATTCACAGGATGTCCAGTCTGAAACCCAGACAGGACAGGACAGAGACAGAGACAGGAAGGGACGGAGGCAGGACCCAGAGGGGATAGGGGACAGGGGCTAGGGCCTGGCCAAGGCAGCACATTGAGCCTGAAGCTGAGCTGAGACTCAAGTCTCCGAATCTCAGCCCAGTGTTATGGGGCTCTGACCTGGCTGAGTGGCCATGGACCAGTTATTTGACCACCTTGAGCCCTGGGAGACACGTTGGCCTTTCGGGACCATCAGGGTATAGGATACCGTGGATGTAAAACATTTAACAGGGTGCCTTGTGCAGGTCTAAGTACAAGAAATGTCTGTGATTGTTACTTCCTGCAAATAAGTAAGCACCTGCAGGGCGGGCTGTAGGAGCGCACAAGGGGCTGGGAAGGACAGTGATGAGCTGAGCAGGAGGGCTCTAAAGAGGACAGCTGCTGGACCTCCTGGGTGGCTCAGTCGGTTAAGTGTCCGACTTTGGCTCGCATCATGATCTCACAGTTCGTGAGTTCGAGCCCCACACTGGGTTCTCTGCTGTCAGCACAGAGCCTGCTTTGGATCCTCTGTTCGTCTCTCTCTCTGCCTGCTCCTCCCCGGCTCATGCTCCCCCTCTCTCCCGCCTTCCCCTGCCCCCCTGTCTCTCTCTCTCCCTCTCTCTCTCAAA